AATCAATCTACACGACCAACAAATCAAATGAATTCAGTATGATTCTAAAACTCTTTTGACAATATTTATTGTACTGAACCTATATATGTGACTGCAAATACAAATATGTTCTCTTAATTAACTAAATAAAAGTAGGGCTGCATTTGAAAAATAATAATAATAAAATGAAGATAAGCTTGAATTTCTCAGCATCTCAGCAAATTATAAATAATATATTTTAACAATTGAACAGTTTAATAGAATATATATATACACCCCCACTTTTTTGGTAAGTGGGAGAATTAAGATCTAGTTTTTCCTGCAAGGATGTTAAACCTGGTCTTAATGCATCAGAGCCTTTCAGTCTCCTCACTGGACGAGCTCACTGAGCCGCATGACAGTGTTTCAACAGGCAGAAGGTTTGTGACCTTTGAACTAAAGTATATGCCACCTGATATAGGCATTGGCCGAATGGTCACAACAGTTTTGGCAGAGCATTATTTGAATCAGATAGGGATTTGGGTGACTTAAGCCTAAGTTAAGTCTGTGTGAGGCGATTGCAAGCAGCTGCCGTTGGAATTCTTTTTTTTTCCACCACGCATGCTCTGTCAACCGTGGGTAATTAGCAATCCTTGCTTACTAACGAACACATTTCATTTCATTCAAAATGAGTGGGGTTGCTGGACCAAGTAAAAAAGCGTTGCTGTGTCCGTCAGTGAGCAGAAGGTGACGACGCGCCTGAAGCAGCACTGACGATCACGTGCATGCGCACTGAAGCGGGATTTGCAGATCTACACTTTCTGTAAAGCCTATAAACTTCATTTAACTTCTTAAATATCAATGTGTTTGATATATTTAATTGAAATTGCTGTTCCGAACATCCAATGATACATAAAGGAAATATGATCAGGGGTGCCCAAACTTTTTCATACCACTGTAACTCTTGCAGCTGAAAGATTGCCAAAGTCTTTCACGATCATACCCAGTCTACAAACCTCCTCCTGGTTTTTAATAAATACGACGATATTGTTGGCATAGGCTGACAAAATAAAACTTTTGTGAAAACCCTTTAAAACCAGACCTTCCATGTTTGCTCTTATTTTGCATAACATTGGCTCAATAGCCGGGGCATACAGCATCCCTGTGATAGAGCAGACCTGTCTTACTCCTCTGCACACTTTAAAAAGGCAACTAAGACTCCCAATTATTTTCAGGACACTCTCAATGTCCCGGTACAAAACCTTAATCATTGCTATAAGACCTTGGACAGGATCTTGTAGTCCGCACAGAGAAGGGACACCGGACACCAGTTCTTTAATTCTTGCAGGTCTCCTTTTTTCGGCAGCAAGGTCAGCACTGCCCTGCCGCAACTGAGCGGCAGATTCCTGTCTTTAAAACTCTCAGTTAAAAGGTCCTCCCCCATCTCACTCCAGAACTCCTTGTAAAACTCTACTGGAATCCCGTCGATTCCCGGGGCCTTACCCCCCTCCATGCTCTGTAGAGCTGCATAGAGTTCGGTTGCCAACAGAGGACCCTCCAAACCAGCATTTACGTCCTGTGGAACTTTTGGAAGCTCCATACAAAAACAGTCAAATAGTCCAACATCCTCTCTGTACTCACTGCGGTAGAGCTCGGAGTAGAATGTCACAGCTCGCTTCCGGATGTCTTTGGGGTCTTTTAGTTCCTGACCTGTTGCTGAGCGTATGCATGACCCTGCTTTGGCCATTCTTCTTCTCCAGTCCAAAGAACAATTTGGATGGTGCGTCCATCAACGCTGCACTCATGAAGCGTTACCTCACCAATGCCCCCTGAGCTTTAGTGCCCAGCAGGTCTGCCAGCGCAGATTTTTTTGCAGATCTTTAATGTGATCTCGATCTCCCGTGGATTCTGATATATTCTGCAACTCCACAATTTCAGTCTCTAGATTCTTCATAGACCCGGTGATGTCTCGTGTGACATTGAGAGTCATACTGTTGACAGAGCTGATTTATCCCTATCTTCCCATAATCCCACCACTGTTTTAAAGAGTTAAAATCATGTTTCCTGGTCTTAAAACCGCTCCAAAAGAACTTAAACACGTCCTTAACACGTCCTTAGCATCTAAAAGAGCTGTGCTGAAATGCCAGTATGCACACTTTGATTTGAAGTTATTTATAAAAACTTTGCAAATAACCAGGGCGTGATCAGTCAAACCCACAGGTACTGCACATTTTGCAAATATTAAAATGGTGTTTAAAACAATAAAACCTGTCTAACCTGGTTAAGGAAATAACGCTCCCTCTGTAGTGGGCCCATGTATACTGCCTCTCGTTCCCGTTCAAACGCCCTTCACCAGCCCCCCTCCTGTCCTTCCTTACCATTGTCCCCTCCCCTACTGTTGTGGTCAGAAGAGGTCTTCGCTGGACATGCCCTGCTGAGATGTCCCTCTCCGCCACAACTAAAACATTTGGTGTTTTCCGAGGTCGCAAAAACCACAGTCAAAGCCTTCTACTCTAAGCCTGAAAACCAAGTTGAGATCCTTGTCAATGTTATTTAAGATCATAAGAAGTGTTCTCCTGTGCGATACCACGTGCCTCAGGAGAGGGGATTTGCACCCCGATGGCACTCCTGATCTGAGACATAATCTTTCCGTGCGTCTCCAGCTCCCTGATCAGCGTCTCGTCCCTGACAAATGGCGGAATGTGAATGGTTGTATGTCTCTGTGCAGCCCTGCGACTGACTGGAGACCAGTCCGGGGTGAACCCAGTCTCTCGCCCGAAGTTGGCTGGGATAGACTCCAGCCCCCCCGCAACCTTGTGTGCACGATAAGCGGTTTGACGATGGAGCAAACACCAATTCATTGCTGACAATTGAGCACACAACATCATTAAAACACCAACATTGTTTAAAAGTGTGTACGGCTCCAATCTGTTTATAAAAACGGAACTCCAGCCAGAGTCTGGCCCTGATGTTCACCAGCCACACTGATCTTCATTCTGGCCTTTCTACTTTAATATATTGCCATTTTGGCTTCCCCCGAAAGATAGTTGAGGAGCTGCCACTTTTCTTGTTGTTTGTATAGTATTTATTTTTCAATTTCTAGTTTCACAAGACTTAACCAAGAAAACTGTTTGTGTCTCCCTGCTAAGGGAGCAATAAACGGATTTTGAAAACTCAAACTGGCCGATAAATTTGTGTAGTAGATCCCCTCCATAGCAAAATACACTCTAGCCTGGGGGGCCTGGTTTTACCTGGTTTTAGAAGAAGAATGATTTTATCGGCTTATGCCGACGATGGCTTCCTAGCCAAAAGAAAATGGTGGATTTCTTTTCGGGGGGTCTACACTGGGTGCCACAAGCAAAACAAAACACCTGAGCTGCCCGGAGATGGCGTACACCATATATGCACTGTCGCCGTGCTTCACCCTGAAAGAGATGTCCAGGCTCTGAGCAGGTGAGTCTAGGAACATGAACACCTGCCGCCTCAGAGACTGGACGTGTTTCAGTTTGGGATCTTTGCATCCCAGATTCACCGTTTTCATTCCACCGGCGAACTTCCCAAACCTTCGCAGCTCGTTGGTTAACGCTTCATTTGGGATAAACGGCGGAACACCGGACACAATGATCCGCGTAGATGGCGCTGTCAGCGGGGACACCTGCACGAGCGCGTCCCTGATGAACACGCCGCTGTCAATTAGCTGGTTCACACGAGGTTCGTCTTTGAGGAACACAACCACAGCTCTGTTCATCCTGGAAGCGAAGGACAGGTTCTCGTGTCCTACCTGCTCTCCGACAGCCAGCAACACCTCCTCCACAGTGACCGCGTTGTCCGGCGGGACAATCCTTACTCCCTGCCGGAGAGACGGAGGTGGCGTCTCGGAGGATGCCATTCCTCCGCGGGCACCTCAACAAAAAACCCCGATCACTCAAAAGCCAGTTTGTATAACTGACCTAGTCAACACACTAGATTATTCTCAAAAAAAGCTTGAAACCGATTCAAAAACTCCGCCACTCGCACCAAACACCTCTCACGCTCCCACTCACCAGAAACTGGAAAGAGAGAGAGAGAGAGAGAGGACATCTCCTTCTCGGTCAGTAGGCCGCCCCGCTCAGGATCCTCCACAGCCGGACGGACGTCTCACTCAGTCCCAGTGGTGCTTCCTCCTTCCTTCTCAATCTTTAGGAGGAGCCTCCTCAGTCGGAAGACCTCCTGCTGGGTGAAACCTTCAGCTCCCTTCTTTGTGCTGAGCGTAGCGAGCGAACTTCTCCACGTCGGAGAAGTAGTCCTCCACCTTCACTCCTCTCTCGTTCTTGGTGGCCAGAAAGGAACTCCTTCATCTGCCCCACCCCGTATCTGCTGGTGACCGTCCCACCCGAGGAGATGCTGGTGGCAGAGCCCCAGCACCGAAGAGGACCTGACCCCTGACCGACCGGCTGGGCCTCACCCATCGCCACACTCAGTGGCATGGCGAGCGGCAGAACGTGCATGTGCGCCCCGTGGACCACCACACCGCTCGCCGCAGCCGCCGCCACCGCCTTGCGCGCCTTCTCCACGCTGTTCACGAAGATGACCATCGCTCGGTTCATCCACACGGCGGACTTCACGCTTTCGTGACCCACCAACCCCCCGGCCAGGCCGCAGTCCTCCACGGAGCACGCGAAGCCCGGCGCGAACTTCACGCTGGGCTTCCTCGTCAGCCCTGTGAGGTCCGACATGCAGACCGGCTAAAAAACACAAACTAACTAACACTAACACAGAAAGAGACAAAAGACACACATACACACCACCACGCATTCACCCCACAACACACACCAGAACCACACCGAAAATAAACGAAATAACAGATAGAAAACGCGTTCAAACAATTAACCTCACGCTCCGTTCACTCACCACTCCTTCCGCTCAGAGAGAGAGAGAGAGAGAGAGGGAGAGAGCGAGAGAGAGAGAGAGAGAGAGAGAGAGAGAGAGGGAGAGAGGGAGAGAGCGAGAGAGAGAGAGAGAGAGAGAGGGAGAGAGCGAGCTCACACTAACCGTGAGAAGGCAGCAGGTCAGTGACAGCTGCCGCCGTCCCGGACTAAGGACCGACGCGTGTCTCCGCCACAGTGCGTCGGTTATGTGACGGTATTGGAGCGCAGCCCGCGGGAATATTCCTTCACCGGGAAACGAGGATTCTCGCGAAGTTCGGTTTCTTTTTCCACGCGACGCTGAGAGGGAAATAGAAGAAGCGTCGCTTCATTCATTGACCTGATTTGCCATCACATGGGTGTAATAATGCGCGAGCTCAACCTCGCATCGTGCTCGATGGCGCGTGCCTCTTCCGTGCCGATGTCTGGAGTTGTTTGAGGAGCCGATAAGCGGACGCAGCTCTTCCAGGTCCATGTCCGTGCTGAGGGAGAGCAGCCTCACGGTGACATGGAGAAATCGGGACTATACGGCCTCCTTTACTACTTACTCCTCAATTTGCCCTTTATGATTCGTGCGAATGGTAAGTGTTAAGCAAACGGAATGAAACGTATGTTTGGAAATACTGTGCCCTTTAAAAAGCTATCGTTGACAATAAATAACAGCTGTCTGCAGATTAAACATCTGCCAATTTTCTGTAAAATGTTTGAATAGTTGGAGAATTGTGGTGGTAAATCTGTTAAACGAGAAAAAACCCTAGAATGACCCAGTCGTTCCCACATCACAGCATCCCGATAGGGATTATTTGATCACATTAAGCTTGAGGTACATTGTAGGTGCTGGGTGTCAACAGGCTGTGGGCAGCGTGCAGGCTTCTGACAGGTGTCTTAACACACTGCAGTGTGCTATTGCCATCCCACTCTTTGATGCATCTGGTGCCTTCTTCCTTTTCTCCACAATCGCTTCCATCAAACCAAAGCGACATTTACGGAAGTCCCTAAAGATGTGAGTGTGGGGGAGGGAGAGGATGTGGAGATGCCGTGTGCTTTCAAGGCTGTCAGCTCGGCGCCCATGTCTCTGGAGATCCAGTGGTGGTATCTGAAGGAGGATGTGCCTAAAGAATTGCCTCACGAGCTGCAGATCAGTGCACCAGCCAACCGAGCGAAGGTAACTGCCATCAACAATCATTGCTTAATTATACATAGTTCAGGTCCAAATGTGTCTGTTTGTTATTAGTGATAGTTTTTTAGCATCTGGACCAGTACCATCTTCCCTCCTGAAGTGCCACATCTTTTAAACACCCAGCAGCTGAAAACCCGCTTATATGCATCAATGTCACTTTAACCCTGTAAATCTGCCCGAGATGAATATGTGTACACTTTGCATATGAGCTTGGATGAATGGCCTCTATTTGTAAATGCACAGGCTGCAGATATCTGATGTAATCTCGATGTAGGAGCTTGATGCACACCGTTTTTTAAATCTATTTCTCTACATTTTCAAAAGAAGTGTATAAAACTGGGCTTTGTCCGCTTTTAATACTGTGTATCACTCAGGAGGATGGCGATGTCACTCAGACTCTGAAAGCGCACTTGTTGCTTATTAACACCATTTCATTCCTCTCAGGTCGGCTGCATAAAACCGCCATGATAGGATATGGTGGCAGGATGTTGTGGGAATGACTTTTCCCTCCAGCATAACAAATCAGTGCTATTCAGTTGTTTGAGGAGTCAGGGGCAATCACATCTGTAGCGTTTCCTGTGCGGTTTAAGCACATTAAAACATGCAGCGGGGGGTAAAAAGTGCTGCGGAAAAGGGGGAGCGTGACAGACAGGAGAGGTTATCAATGGGGTCTTTGAGAGATGTGCCCACCAAGCTCTGCTCAGGCGCTCATTGATATATATATATATATATATATATTTGTGTTTTCTACATGAGATTCACAATGTTTTCTTTTTCAGGTCGTTCCAAGGGAAGCTACAAAAATAAGTGTAAGTGTCGTCTTTCCCGACTGCACAGATGGACGCACGTTGAATAACAGACGGTTATTGCTCAAATTACAGGAGACTGACATTTCTGAGGTGATGATGTTGACAGAAGATCAGGGTATTTAGAGGAAGGAAACCCCTGCTTGACGTGGTGGTGTGCGTTATGATTAAAAGACGGAGTGATGCTGCTCTTTTCTGTCTGCCCATGATGTCATGACTACATGAAAGGCATGATTTTTTTTTTTATGAGAAAAATCATGAGTCAACAAGATCATTTTAATGCATTACATGTTATTCAGGGGATGGATTAGACTGTGACCACTATTCACTTCAGTGTTCTGCTGGGCTATTGTCTTCTGACAAGTCAAAGGTCATGTTTTTAGACCTTTTGTGTCAAATACAGTGTGGCAGTTAGTTTTTTGGTAACATGTGAACCCTTATTAGGGATAACTGAGGCTCTAGATGCCACATGTGGGCCTGCAGAGAAGCTAATACAAGGTCAGGTCTGGTGACGCCTCATAAAACATGAACAACCCGTATTAAGCTGATGATTAATGTATGCCCAAACTAGTTATTATTGTAAGCATTCCTCTCCACATTTCAGTGCTTCCCTCTCTATGGGTTCCAGACTGTGCGTGTCCAGGGAAATGCCATCTCCCACCGCCTCAGCCTGTCCAAGGTGAAGAAGGAAGAAGAGGGGCTGTACGAGTGCCGCGTGTCCGACCTGTGGGCCGATGAGACTCAAGACTTTGCGGTTCATGCCATGCTGCATGTAACGCTGGCTGACGCCATGGTGGCCGAGGAGGCTGTGTCACACATCCAGAGCCGCTGGCCCCTGAGGAATACCAACACGGGACTGGGAGGTGGCAGAGAAGAGAAGGGCACCTCGGTGCCCGGCCAGGTGATGGCAGGGGGTCAGAGGTCAGGGCAGGGGAGGCACAGAGTTCCTCAGCAAGCGCAGCCCGGCCTCTCGTCCACCACCACCACCATCTCGGTGGCTAAGTCATCGGCCTCAGCTCTCCTAGGGAACGCAGCCATCATCCGGCAGCAGCTAGGAGCCGGTGAGTGAGTATTGGAGGCGGGGGGGGGGGGGTATAAGTGAAACAGAGCCACAGTGACCCCTGGTGGCACTAGAAGGGGAACCCAGACACAGCTGAGCCTTGCTCATCTATATTTGATGTGTTTTACTCAAATGTGCTGTATCTTTCTGTCTGATGAGGGCCCGTCATCTTTGGGTTGTTGTAGAATATTTCCGTCTCAGATGCACTTTGACTAATTTTTGTTAGTTCCACCTGCCACTATATTTATTAAGTGTGAGGAATTGCGAATTTACACCCCAATTTGACACACTTAAATGTTTCAAGAGTCTGCCTAATTATTTTCCATATTAGACACTGCACAAAAAAACATAATTCATGAAATGTTACTGTAATTACTCATGGTTGAGTGGGCTGTCTTTTATAATTAGAGCGCTATGGTATCATCATCAAAATGACTATGGTATCGTCATTTTGGCAACAGCGTGATTAAGGCCGAACATTTCATAATTATTGTCAATTATAATACAGGTAGATGAAATACAGTGTTCCGATTGGTTGAGAGTGAGTAACTCTCAATAGTGACTCAATAACGTAGCTGTTCACATTGACCCGAGCGTTCCATATCACTGCACACTCAAAGAGGTTAGATTTTGCGTGACCGACATTTTAGTTTTTCAGCTCGGTGGCGATCGCCAAAAATCCCACAAATGATCAGTTTCAGGCAATGTGAGCTTTCGCAACTGGCAAATTAAGGATGGACGTCACAAGTGATGTGAATGAATGAGATGGTGGGGGACCCGATGCGGTTTACGTGCACCTACGGGGACTATTTTTTTCTCGAGACCACTAAAATGAGATACACAACGTTTGGTCGCTACAACTATTTTGTTCTGAAAAGCAGCTATTTACTTACTACTACTACTACTACTCGCCTATTATAAAAGTAAATAATAAATAATAATAAAAAAAGTAAAAAATAATGTAACAGCTCTAACAACGCCCTCGAACTGTTAAATTATTGGACGATAAACAGCCCCTCGTATCTTATTGCTTAAATATTTTCTAATTATTTTCGTGTGATTGTTCGGATTGAATCTGTATCGAAATAAAACCTTTGCGTGGTAATAAAGGTTAAGGGCATAGACATCTCTGCAGCACCAAAAGAAAATTACATAAGTCAGATATATGTATTTTTTCCAACAAATGTTGCGATTCTTGCAAATTTTCAATTGTAAGCTTGTGCGCAGTGTATGTGACATTCTTATATCATATCAAATAAATTATATTCAGATTTGGTAGAAACCCCTAAATGTGACAGCATGAATATTTTTGCATAATACATATGTTTCATCTCATTTGTGTGATCGCCCAGCTCAGCATCGACACATGGCCCTGCAGTGTTACACTTTTAATCTTTTTAAATCATTGAATCATTTTTGTTGGTGTGTGTGTGCAAAAACACGCAAAACTTAGTTATGATTACCTCTGCCAGCCGTTTGGCAGATGGACAAACATGTGGGAAAGGGAGTGAGCAAATCTACCTCCTCTTAGCTCTTCTTCCTGCCCTAATTCTGTCCAATGAAGTACACTTGTGAATAATTAAAAATCTAGAGGGGTTGTCAGCAGCGCTGCTGATGGGGTTAGTAAGTCCTGTGGACTGTATGACCGGTGCTTTTCTTTCTGCCATTTGCTGGAATAATGTTGCTAAATGAGAGGGGCTTGGCAGAGGTTCCTCTGCTGATGTCCTTTCTGCTCTTCTGTGAGAGTGTGCTGAAGTCTGCCATGTCCTTTTAGAAGAGATCAGCCCAATGTTGTCACAGCTTTGACGAGTCGAATGACTTCCATCATTACTGCTGCTACTACATGTATGTGCAGCCTTTTTTTTAAGTCTGTGTGTGTCTGGGTTTGATGTTTGGATGATACATGAAATTGGGTTCTTATTAACTTCTCGCAGTGCAGGACCTCACTCTCAGATCTCAACAACGCTTCACACGTCACAAAGGCTTGTTTGTATTTCCCTAAACCAATCACAATTGTCTAAGTTGGGCCTTGACATACTGCCGATTATAGGCTTCAGGCAAATTGGTACTGTAGATGGATTCACATTTTTAACCAGTCAAATACCACCTTCTCATTTGATTCAATGAGTGTCCAAACATATAACTGGTATTGTCCAAAAACCTATCCACAACTTTTATATTTGGCAGGGTAGTTTTTTTTATTTAGCTGCTGAGTTCAACAATGCTGATAAAAACAAGCCAACCATGGATAGATCCATGAAATGATGTCAAATCCTTGGGCCCTGTTCAACAAACTAAAAGAATGGGAAATCTTTACGGGAATTGGATCTTGGTCTTTGGTCTTGCGATCCATTTGGTGTCATGACCGGACAATGGCCCTGAACCCAAATCCACCACTCCAGAGGCGAGGTTCAAAAGTTAATTACAAAAGGCAAAAAATTTAAATCACTCGCGGAAGAGGAAAAAACACTATACTAAACCTAAGAACAAAAAGGATCTCGAAAATAAACACTGCTGAAAAAGGAACAGAAATGGAGCCTGAACAAAGCATAAAATTAACAAGATCTGACAATGGCAAAAGGGCGATAAATCGAGCCGGAACAAAGTACAAAAAAAGATACAAGACTTGGCAAAGGGCAAGGGTATTAGAGCATGGATCGGGCCGACTTTTTCTGTCTGAGCCCAGCCCGCGTCCGACAGAGTTGGGCCCGAGTCCGACAGCCTTTAAACTATTTTGTCTGAACCCAACCCGAGCCCGACGGAGTCAATGCCTCAACTGTTCATAATAATGACACATTCATGAAGGTTTTTTTTTTACTGTCAAAAACGAACTTCTACATCAGTGGTTCCCAAACTTTTTACCGTCCCATACCCCTTCAGACATTTAATCTCCAGCTGCGTTACTTTTTACTTTAATTCCGTTTTAATCGGTTTTGGCTCATTTTTCACCCAGAGGTAGATTGATGGCTTAAAATGAGTGAATAATATGTGCCACAAGTGACCCAAACCTTTTAATGTTGTTGTTTGCCAGGCATTAACAGAACAGAAGACTAAAAAAATCCTACCCCAGTTTGGGAACCGAGGTTCTACATCATGGGAAGCAGATGTTGACTTCACTACTTATTAAGATATTTTAAATATGGAATGTTCAATGCCTTATCGCACTGATGTCTCGGAGCCCGACCCGAGCCCGACTATATTTTCTAAATATTTATCCGAACCCGACCCGACCCGTTGGGTCCCAATGGGTACCGACGGGCTCGGTTCGGGTATCCACCCTCTAATGGGTATGCGCGGGTCCTCTTTCACATGGGACAAGACGACCTGGCACAGGACAAAGGGAGACGCAGACAATATATACACACAGGGTAAGGGCACAGGTAGAAACAATCTACCGGTGCAGGGCAGACGATCGGACCGGCACAAAGGGGGAAGGAACAAGTTGCCAGAAACGAGAGGAAGGTTCATTTTCAAAATAAAACAGGAAATCACGACACAAGACAACCTGATTAGCCCCACTTCTTGGACATGACATATGGGGGAATTCCTGTTAGCTTGCCTTTGTCCTCCAGAACAAATGGTCTCAAGGCCTAACACCACTTTCAGTTTTCTCGTTTTCTCTGCTTCTCTCAATGGAGCGATGGAATAGGTCCTAGCTTGGAGGACTTGAACCAAATCGTGTAGGCCACTATTCTGTGGACCGGTAGAGACTGATGAACCACAATGTGAGGGGATGAGGCGCAACACTGAGAGTTTGGAATCTGGAACAGTGAAAAAGATACAGCAACATGGATGTCTATTTTTTCTGCTAAAATCAACATGATTAACTTGGTTGGTAGAAAGGACATCCTGTTGCGGCCCTTGGCAGAGTAGAGCTGGATCAGTTACTTCCTGAAAGTGCTTTAAGCAGCAGACAGCATTAGAGGCTCCCTTGTGTTTCCAGCGGAACTAGAGTCCAGTGTGCTGTTAATGGAGACTCCAAGGTAACTGTACTTGTCCACCACCTCCACTGTGCTCCCAGAATTTTGATGGGATCAAGAGCGGTCCTTATTCTCCTGCAGTCCATGTGATCTCTATGCAGAACTGGTCCCTAAACTCTTACTCCATCTTCTCAGGGCAGAGGAGGAGCAATGTCTGGAATGTTTGGCAAAAAATGGTAGGGACGGTGTTGTCCTCACATAAGTTAATGTAGTCTGTGAAGAAATATCTCATACGGTCAACGTCTTCCCCATAAGACTCACAGGAATCCTCATTAGCATCCTGAGACCTGCTTTCCTAACGCTCCTCATAGTCACAGGGAGCTGGTGGACAATGGTTAGATATGCATCGCTGAGCTCTGTGTATGTTCCAAGGTAGTAAGTAAGAGAAAATTAAATAGCAGGTGTTGAGTTTGGAGTTGGAGTGTACGTCGTGACTCTCTAGTCCACGGTGGTTGGTGGTGTAATGGGAACAATGACTGACTATAACTCAGAGACTTGATATTACATTACATGTCATTTAGCTTTTATCCAAAGCGACTTACAATCACTTAACGACAGTGCATCCGGAAAGTATTCACAGCGCTTCACTTTTTCCACATTTTGTTATGTTACAGCCTTATTCCAAAATGGATTAAAATCATTATTTTCCTCAACATTATACACACAACAACCCATAATGACAACAACCCATAATGACAAAGTGAAAACTGTTTTTTGCAAATTCATTCTTTGCAAATAAAGAACGAAAACATAAGTATTCACAGCCTTTGCTCAATACTTTATTGAAGCACCTTTGGCAGCAATTACAGCCTCAAGTCTTCTTGGGTATGATTCCACAAGCGTGGCACACCTATTTCTGGGCAGTTTCTCCCATTCTTCTTTGCAGAACCTCTCAAATTCTCAAACGGTACGGTCGACGGGGGGTACCGGAGTTTCAGACCCCTGATTTAGGAGAACGTATCTTACAGAATTCAGAAAATATATTATCTGTAGAAAAAAAAACAAGCGTGTTTATTTGATC